GTGAGCAAACACAGTATGTTTTATTGAATAATCCTTGTCTGTAGCCAAACAATGCATTTATTGAAATTAATACATACCAAAAAATTCTGGAAGTATAAAATATTTTTTAAAATATGTGACAAGTACTGCACTTTCACCAGATATGAGGACAAGAATTGTACCAGATAAATAATCGACATCATGGCTTGGTTCAAGGCAGTATTTTATTTACTGTAATTGCACTTTTGTGCCTGTGACATGAGAGAAATTTTCTGGGCCTTTCAGGCTATGCAGACTCCTTTTCTTTGATGCTATGGTCATTTCAGTGACTGATACTGGAGTATCAAGTTTTTTCTTCAGCAAGAAATAAATTTTGTAGAAAATAGTTACTTATTCTTTACTGTTCTTATCAGCTTCAAACATTTTATTCAGTAAAATATATTTTATAATAAAGAAGACCCAATACTAACTTAAAAGAAAGGTTCTAGGGGTATTTCATTAATGTGTGGATGAAACTCTTGAAGTCAGTAATAATTTTGCAAAAAATCAACACTAGAATATCATCTTAAATTACTATCTTTTAACTCGGTGAAAAGCAACACACAGAAGAAAAAATGCCAATCTGAGACTTCTCAGAAATACTTATGCCGACTCTTTGATTTTATGAATTAGTCCTCTGGACATGCTAAGTGACTTCCCTTCATTTTTAACAGTTGCATTGTTTTGTTTTGACTAACAAAGCGCAAGCTGTAAAAAATAGTAGCCTGCATGGACTGAGGTAATTTGTTTCCCCGATTAATTAACATTCAGCTATTAATGCATTTCCTTCATCATTTCTTTATTCAATACACAGTTTAGCTTCCTCTTGGAAATTGTAATGAACAGGGTTTTAAAATGTGTATACACTATGCACAAGTAGTAAAATATGATAGCAATCTGACAGTCTGAATCCATCTCGTCCTTTTGGAGGGAAAAAGAGAAAGAAAAAAAGTCAGGCTGAGCGGTTAGGTAGAGGAATTGAAAATATAAATTTTGTGATGAAAACTAGTTAAACTTACATGTACCACATAATCTTGCAATGATTCTTTAGCAGTTGTTTTGCCTTTAAAGCTAGATTTTAATTTATAGATTTCAATATGCTATAAACAATAAGGGGATGTTGAAGAATAAATTTCTGTAACGTGCCATCATGCCGTATGTGTACATTTCTAACTTTTTCGGGGTGACTACCCTTTTTCCTAGCCTTGGTCTCTTTACCTTTGTAATTCTACAGCTCAGAGCTTTGTCCTCTCCTCCATTTTATGGTTTTTCTTCTCCTCCATTTTATGCTGTCTTTTCTTAGGTATCGTGTCTGTATTTGAGAACCATACCAAAAGATAGAGAAAGCCTTCTTTTGTCAACCCACCTGTCTGTTGCCATGCCTTTCTTGTTTCTGGCAAAATAAAAATTACCAGGACTTCTGTCAGCCGGAGCTCTGAAGCTCAGCGTTCATCAATTTAGTGGTTTGATGCCAAAGTATCAGGCCAGTGATATTACTTCAGATCACACACCAAAACTCTAAAGTGATCGTTCTTCACAGCATCATGAGGCCTAATATTGTACATACGCAGTGTGTTAGAATTAAGGGCCTGATCCTGCAGCGAGCGTGATTGTCCTTTTCACCTCAGCTTGGGCATAACTGAGACCTAGGTACACAAACGCATGTTTTTACAACACAGTGACCAGACAACCCACGGCGCCAGGAAACCGAGAAGGCGGAATCACCCCATTGCCCGTGCTCTGCATCCCTACTGAAGGAGACGCACCCGCTGCCAAGTGGGCAGCTGGGTTTGCAGAAAAGAACTATATTAATATCACAAAAAGGAAAAAAGGAAAAAAAAATCCAGGGATGATCTCAAATGTAGTGTGATTCAAATAAACATATAATGTGATGCAGTGAGATGTGATAAAGTCTAATCTCACCGTTCTTACTGCGACAAAACTTGAACTGGCCTCCAAAGCCGGACTGAGCTCTTAGATGACTGATTGTAATTAGTGAGAGCTATGGATACAGATACAAAATTCCTAACAGCTTTTTGATTAAATCAGCTACCAGTCAATTACCGTGAATAGTTCAGATGAAATGAAATGTGTTTGTTGAAAGCTCTTGCCCAGTAAGAAGTCCAGCCCTCTGACAGCACCGTCAGCCTGCAAGGGGATGGCAGCACAGGTCGGCAGATGATCAGAAGAGCAGACTATACTCACTATTTTAAATTAAGTTACTCTGGAATATTCTACTTTATATGTACTGCTATCTGACCTGCTTTTATTAGCAATACCATTCAAGACAAGCAACATTAAAAAATTGAGAGGGAAAAATGTTCTGCTCTGTTTTTCTATTATTTTACATATTTGGCAATAATTTGCAAAGTCTGTTGGTTTTGCACTTTGTGTTGTCTGATATGTATCTGTAGCGTGAAAAAAAGGACTATCTTTTTGACATTATATAGGTGTTATTTTAAAATCATGAATCTGGCAGAGGCCTTTAGCTTTTACTCTTTTTTTTTAGGCTAAGCAGCTTTCAACGTTGAATTTCCCTTTAAGAAATGTTCAGTGGAAATGTTTGTTCAATAAAGAAGGCCAGATTACACAGTAATGTTCTTCTCCACTCAGAATAGCCATGCGCAAAGAAGAAGGTGGGATCTGAAACATTTTGCATACTTCAACTCCAAAGGTTGTGTACATCATAATTCACGTGACATAGGAAGGCCTTTACGTACATTTTATTAGTTCAGTCCTAATTTGGTCCTTAGCTGAGATAGAAACACACGCCATTTCACTGTTTACTTGTAAAATATTAACTTTCAGATTTTTGGGGGACTACGGCAATGTTTCAATATGTAAAAAATAAAATGTTAACACGACAGGTTAACGCCTCGCATTAGGAATTTATTAGCTTAACATGGAGATGTTTTCAGATAGCATTTGTACGTCCTCACTAAACCACCACTGAGGGCTGTATTGTCTATCTGTCACTATTTCACGTATGTCAAAATGTGCAAAGCCTCTACCAAAATGCCACAGCCACCTCAGTTACAAAATTATTTCCATTCTAAGCTCGCATTTCAGCTGGCCAT